GAACCAGCAGCAGGTATCTGAGGTTAGGCTGTATTCACTGTCAGTCCAAATGAATCAGTGCCCATGCCAGATTTTGCTTCCTTTGACCTGTCATAATCAGAAGTAAAATTCTTAGAAGTGAGATTTGCTGTGCTATTTGTTTTCTCCATGTTCTTTGCCCATAATTACAAAAATACCTTGGAAATAGCAGCAGCAGGTTCAACGACAGTCACATCTTGGCATGAAGACAAGATGGTGCAGATCTTGGTATCAGACTCACTGCTGTTGGTCAAATTTTGCCTTAAATTTTCTTTCAAATCAGCTCCACTGTTGTCTGACATAAACTTTTCACAGCACTGATGCGGGTTCTGCTCTTTTGTAGATGGTACTTTGTTCTGAGCTGCATCAATTAAAAACAAAACAAAATTCAAACAACAAATCACAAAGACAAACTTCAGATTTTTCAATGAATGCTATTTTTGTGTTTCTTCACCAAAAGGAGGGTGAGATTCAAAAAGCTAGGTAATTTTCTAGTCAGGGAAAAGAAAACACGTGCATTTTTTACCTCTACATTGCAAATATCATTACCAAATCTTCAAATCAAAGCAAGTTATTCTTTTCATATAAATGTTAAGACAACCACCAATACCAGAAAAGTAAAGCATTGTAGTTTGTTTTACACTATCATCTTCTCACAGTTATAACAGTACTGCCCTGACTTGGTTTTGCAATACTTTATTTTCATTAAGAAATAAGGATGTTAATGCCACAGTAATGTAATGTGATGTGATTTCTAAAATTACTGCACATAAAAGTTATTAAACAAAAGTCTGCACATCAGGATCAAGAGAGCTAACAGTTACAACAGCTAAAACCAGTTCTCACAGAAATTGTTCTCAGTTTCATGGAAAAAGTGTGAAAACACTAATGCTTAGTGAAAAGTAAATTGAAGGGTATAAATCTAGAAAGTGAAACTAAGAAAACAGTCACAAAAAGTACTAGTCTTCATTTTTCTTCAGAGGTTATTCTGAGAAAACCCTATTGAGGATGCACTAAGAAATAAGATACATTTAAACAAACAAAAAAACCTCAAACCAAACACAAAGAAAACCTGTGCCAATCCTTATAAAAGAAGATTTCTTTGTTTTATATTAAATGCTTGTAGTTTTATACTTTTTGGCCTAAAGGAAGACCTGATGTCTAAGATAAATTGTTGACCCAGAAATATAATCAACTTACAAGGGCCTGCTTCCTGGGAAGCATCATCCACTCGTGACAGTCCAGAGAAGCCAGTCTCCTCTTTAACTTCTTGTACTGATTTGAAAGATGTTTGAAAGGCATCTATCTTGTCCTTCAATGACCTGACATTTTCATGTTTAAAAGGACTAACCTGCTAAAACAAAAGTAACCTCATGAGACTTTTTTTCCCCAAGATGACATGGGCTTTATTACTTTGGATTTGCAGTTTGGCATAAAACAAACTCAGAGAAGCAGCAGATCCTGTATGTAATCTGGCTGCAATTTTAGTCGCATGGCAAGAATATGAAAGAAAAGAACTGTATCAAGAAATTTGTTAAGTTTTACTGCCTTTCGTAATCTGTCCCTCTAGACCATATCCAGAATTTGTTTTCTGACAGCCTATGCTAGCTTGAGTTAAGAACAAGTCTGATGAAAAAACAAGTCACTTCTAATATTTGCTTCATTTTGAAATACCAACACTTTAATTCACCAAAAGTCAAACACGGCAAATGCAGGAAAGTAAAGATTACAATAAACAAAAGTTAAAATACATAAGCAAGATAGACACGGAGAAAAGACTCCAGAGTCTACACAAACAAAACCTCCAACATCCCCTTATTCTAAAGCGTCCAAAGGGAGTAAACAAAATTTAGGCCATGTTTATTCCTTCTACTGGCTTCTTCCTGAGACTTGTCTTCTTTTTCTGCCAGCATACGTTCATTCCTGGGGGGAATTAAACAGACACATCAGATATTTGAGAGACTCTCACCTGTGTAAAAGCTTCTTTTTGCCTGTTGCTTCTTTGTTGGGCAAGGTATTGAATAAGGGTGTTATGTTCTGGTGAGCCTCGCACTCCAATTGCTGATCTTCGTCTAAGTTTTAATGAAGTCGGAGACTTCCCTGAAATGGGGACAGGAGAAGAAAAAGAGAAAAAAAGAGAAGAGAAATTTCTTTGTAAGAATATCTAAAGCTTAAAAAGGGTAATTTTATTTTTTAAGAGTGATTTATGTTATTTATCAAAACATTCAAAGTTAACTACTCAGCTCGAGAAACCTTCCTAAGCAAAAGCAAATTAACTTCCTAAAAGTAAGTTAAATATTAACTAAACTGTATACCAAGCGAGGAGCTGTCTTTCTTTTATTTTTTCAACTGCTAGTTAAGAAACTGTCTACCAATACTTGCAGAATTTGTCTTACTACTCACCTGTGAAACTCACTGACACCTAATCAACTGGGCAGAACAAAGTTAAATATGGAATTACAGCAACATCATACCGCAGTCCTATCCTTGGGCACATTCAAACTCTGCCAGACAACCTGAACCTGACCTAAATTGAAGCTTTTGATAAGAAGTTGGACTAGATTATCTCCAGATCTTCCTCTGAGACAACAGTCATTAGTCACTCCAGCCTTACCTACAGATCGTTTAGTAAAACTTTCTTGAGTAATTCCAAATTCAGCAATTGTTACAGTTGCAAAATCAGCAGGTTTTTTCCTCTGTTTCTCTGATATTCCACAATCAGGTTTTTCTTCTGCTTTGTGCCTATTAGGTATCAAGTAGCATTCATCCTCCAAAGAAACAGGTCTACTTCTTGAAAAATTCTCCTTACTGTTCAAAGGCAAGGTGTGTTCACCAACCATATCCCCTCTTAGCGTATCAGAAAAGCATTCAGTAAACTGACAGTTAACAACATCCTCCTTGTTGTGGTAAGATTCCTTTTCGAGGCCTTTGGTGTATCTCAGGGTGCATTTTTGCAACTGCGCCTGATTCCCATCACTTAAATTCTCCTTCTTGGATGCCTTTACGACTTTTGATTTAGTCACTTTGCAAAGCTTCTGGTCTTTTGAGAGATCAGGGACAGAGGCCTCTTCCTTCTCTTCCGTGTATCTACTCTCATTTTCTTTAACTTCCAGGGGAGCATTTATAGTCTTAGATTGTCTGTACATTATTACTGATTTACTTTACGAAACATTCAGTCAGCCTTTGCTCTCCTGCAATTGCAGACACAGACCAAAAAGAAAAGGAGATTTTAATGGGTATTTAGTAACAGCAAGAGTTTGCTACCATTCTCAAACTTCTACCAAACCTAGGTTTTTCCTGGAACAAGGTGTTTAACAGGGTGGTGAAAAGGGAAAGTCCTTTCTGTGTAGCTTTCTGGAGATAGGACACAAACGGCCAGAGCTATGAAGAAAAACGCACAGCAGTATAAATCTGCAACAGAAGTGTTTCACAAGTATGAAAATATATGGCTACGCTTTCACTCTTTATCAAACTTAAGCTTCACATTAGTATACAATATGCTAAGCACAACCACACTGTGATCATTTCGCTCTGTTGCAAGAAGCATTAGCAGTTTAATACTAATTGGAAAAATTAAGACGCTAACAATTTTTGCATTTAGTTTCTTGGCTATTAAGTTAAGCGTGTAGAATTCAAGAACGTCAGACTGAAACTTTGGTTCCACAAAAATATGCATTTTTTCTATATTTTGCGCAACATGAATTAAGCTGTTAAACACCACGTGCACGACTTCTTTGTGGTTTTTTTTTTCTTAAACCTTTTTTTGGTTTTGTTTAGGCCTACACCAAAAGTTGATCCCCACCTCTACCGCGTTATGGAACGGAGAGGCGATTGTGCGAGGGACTGGTGCCCAAACTCGGCCGCTCCCGGGACGCACTCCCGTACCCCCTTTCCCGCCCAACCCCTTCCCTCAGCACTCCCTCAACCCCGCCCGCGCCCCTCTTTACCCCCTCAGACACCCTTCCAGCGCTCCCCCTCCTTTATATCCCCTCACCAAGACACCCCACCGTCCCCCCTCACCCGCGCCCCCTCACCTCCGCCCTCACGCCCGCCCCAGCGCTCCCCCTCAGCCGCCAGAGCCGCTCCCGGCCCACCACTT